TATACATTTAATATGTTTAGCTAAAAGTACATTCTTTTTGGTTCATAAGTTACTCTTTTTAAAACAAATTTCCAAATTTATAATCATTTAAAAATTTATCTTTTTGCTAGTGACTTTTATGTCAGAAGATGTGGTCTGTAAGAGAATTCTTTGAAATTTATTGACCTTTTGTGCTAAAAATATAGTCAATTTTTATAAATGGTTAATCACTTAATGCATATTCTCTAACTGTTGGGTATACAGTTCTATGTAGACAAATATACATTAAAATTTATTAACATATTGATAAATTTCTCCCTTTAATTTTATTGAATTTTTATACATTTTGAGGCTAAGTTATCATGTGTATGCAGGCTTAATATTGTTATATTTTTCTAGTGAACTTATTATTATGTAGTAAGGTCTCCTTATCTCTAGTCATGCTTGTTAAATTAAAATTGATAGCTTTTGTTCATTTGGTGTTTGCCCAGCATAACTTTTTACTATTCTTTTATTTTCAACCTTTTCATGTCTTTATGTTTCTAGAGTATCACTAACTATAATTTTCATTGGCAATTATATATTCCACTTTGGTAAGTTCAATTCTGCCAGATTATTTTTTTAAACATTTCAAATTTGTTCTTATATATTTTACAACAGCTAATTGCAATACTTTCAGTCCTTGGGCTGGGGGGTGCGGCGGGAAGTCTGCATCTGAAATTTGTCTTTTCTGCTCTCACTCATGGTGGCTTATTTCCATATGTGTTTTTTAGTTTAGTTTTTACTTTTTTAGGTTAGCTAGATTTTAATTATGGACTCATTTTTGGTTGACAAAATTTGTAAACAAAACAAAATAAGAGGACAAAACCTCTCACTTTAAGTGAGAATTATTTCTTCCAGCTTCTCTGTCTTGCTATTAGCCTATAGTTTTCTTCTGGATTAAGTGTTGTTATTCTTATTTACCATTAAGAAAACCCCACCTGTCATATGTTTATTGCTTATATTTTAGTGTCAGTTCAAGTTTTTTCATCCTTAAGATTTTATTTCTACCTGTGGAACTGAGCAATGAGGTAACATTAAGTTTTACACAGAACTTGATTATTTTTGTATTAAGGGAGCTCTTCAGAGTAATCTGTTACACTGCTAAAAATAGATGTCTTCATACCGATTTTCTACTTATTCCACTTCTGTGGTATTTGAGTATTTTCAAATTGGTGTTATTTTTATAATAAAAGCTCTAGTTCCAAAAAACTTTAATATAGCAATGCAGTCTTTAGCAAAAATGTATTATATTATTTTTCCTATTAAATATTTCCTTTAATTTTAATAATAACGATAAGGTATTAGTATCATTTTCTTATGTTTACTATTTTGTATGTTATACCTCAATTCCTCTAAGTCCTTTACATTTGGTACAATAATATGTAAAATTTAAATCTTACAAATATCAAACATAGGAAGATGTAAGCCACAAAAAAATTTACCTTCCAAAGAGGACAATAGATAGCCAATAATTATATGATTGTAATTACCTAATCACAAATTTGCAAAAAGATTTTTCCGATATATATGAATTTCCTATATATGAAAATTTTCTATATATGAAAACTATTTCCTATATATGAAAAAATATATGTTATTAAAATACCAAATTCTAAGTGAATTTTAATTAGATTAATGACACTATGGAGATGCATTATAATAAAGCTAGCCAAAATTAATAAATAAAAATGTATTGATTAGAACTAGTGAGTTATTTCCAGAAAATATAGGATAAACATTTCTTTTTTAATAATAGAAAAAGCTTAAGTATTTCTGGTAAGGAAGAAAGTTCTAACACAGCTGAAGAGCTATTTATGATAAGTATAAAAACTGAAACGATGCTGATAAAAAGTTGAATTATTTATTCTACTTAAAAGCAATATGAAAAGAAATTTAATCATGCCCTCATACTTGCAAAGCTATAACTTACTAAGCTGTAAAAGAAATGCTTAATGTAAGGAAATTAGATGTTACTTTTCAATTTTGGAAAGGTATGCTCCTAAACTCTTTAAAAGAAGTTAGCAATTTTGGAGGTTAATTTGAAAAAGTAGCAATATGATTCAGGTCAACTTTGAAATTTATCAAGAAACCAAAGGTCATTAAACTGATTTTTTTACTATTTTATCTTTGCTTAGAATAATTAAGGATTAATATATAAACCATTTCACTCACATAAACTATCATATTTTTTAAGGAATGAAGATACATATATATATAAATTAATGAATACTGCAGAATGCATTAAAAGAAAAAGATAATTTATATGGCTTATCTGTAATTCTTTGAAATGCTCTGATTTTCAAAAGGAAATGCAGGAAGGTTTTTAAAAGAGGGTTTTCAGGCTCAATCCCAAATCCTGACTGCATAATTGATAATTTCTATATTGTGGGAACATCTTTTCACATAATTTAATGTAATAACAAATGGATACTTTAATTTCATTTATTCCCATGACAACCTCAAGAAATATGTACTCAATTCACCAAATTTCTGAAGCACAATGTTCAAATCCAAATTATGACCCAACTTTGCTTTTCCTCCCTTCTTTCCTTCCTATAGGTACCCACTATCAAGACTATCCTTGGAGAAGGGAAAGGATTCAGAATATTTATACTGATAGAAGGTAAAGAAAACAAAGCAAAAGGGAAGTACTAGAGGAAGCAAGTGAATTACTAGAGGCCTCCACAGGACAGTTTGTCAACCTTCTTTTTAGATTTATATAAATTCATATATTTTGAGAAAAGAATTTAGAGGAAGTAGTAAGAGATCTATAATTACAACATCAATGGTCAGACTCTAAGAAGCAAAGAAAAAGTAGTCAAAGATGGCATCTATTTATTTGCATAAACTGTTCATAAGCAAAGACATACTTGCATCTTAGCAGCTTCCAACTGTTAATGATTTAGTATCCTAGGGAACATCTGTCAATGTCCAAAGACAATTTGATTATCATTATGGGTGTGTGTGTGTATGTAAGTACACATACTTGCAAGCATGCTACTGGCATCTAGTGAGTAGAGGCCAGAGATGCTGCTAACCCTACAATGCAGAGGACAGCCCCCAAGAACAAAGGTTTGTCCATTCCAAAACATCAGTAGTGCTGAGGGTGAGAAACCCTGCCTTACCCTTGCAGATGTGTTCCTCTCTTTCATTTCAAGCACGAATGATGGTTAAAAGAGCTAACGGGTGGTAGAAGTGACTCACTAATAATTTAGGTGCTTATTGAAGGCAAAAATTGGGTAAATTTCCCAGAGAAAGACTACGACCTGTACTTGACCCTTAGAAATTTTAAATGATGCAATGAAGATTTAAGATGAAAATTAATCTAGTACACTGTTATCTGTGGGCATTGGTTACCTATGATTTTGAGTGCTTTCCTTATACAGGTAGACTTTGTCTTACTGTGTTTGTAGATACTGTGTTTTTTTTTTACAAATTGAAGGTCTGTGGCAACCCTACATTAAGCAAGTCTATTAGCACCATTTTTCCAACAGCATTGGTTGTTGTGTGTGTTCTGACTGTTCTAGTGATGGCTGTTTTCCTGTCTCTCCCTCTCTTCAGGCCTTCTTATTCTCTGAGATACAATAATATTAAAATTAGGCCAATTAATAACCCTAAAATGGCCTCTAAGTGTTCAAATAAAAAAAAAAGGAGTCAGTTGATGTGGCAAACTTCATTGGTGCCTTGTCTTAAGAAATTGCCACAGCCACCTCAACACCTCAGCAGCCACCACCCTGAACGGTAGTCATCAATATCAAGGCAAGACCTTCCACCTGCAAAAAGATTACAACTTGCTGAAAGCTCAGATGATGGATACCATTTTTTAGACCTAGAGTATTCTTAATTAAGGTATGTATATTGTTTTTTTTGGACAGAATGCTACTGCACATCTAATAAATCATAGCATAGTATAGACGCAACTTTTGCATGCATTGGGAAACAAAGAAATTTACTTGATTCAACTCACTGTACTATTTGTTTTATTGCAGTGGTCTGGAACTAAACCTGAAATATTTCTGAGGTATGCCTGTATTTTGTTAATTTTCTACAGTATGATTCCAGTTTTCTTTTCTTCTCTCTCTCTCTTCTTTTTAAAAAGATTGTACTTATTTATTTGAGAGGGAGAGAATGAGAGAGAGCGAGAGAGCAAGCGTAAGAGAGGGAAGTCAGAGGGAAAAGCAGACTCCTTGCCGAGCATGGACTCTGATGCGGGACTTGATCCTGAGACACCAGGATCATGACCTGAGCAAAGGCAGTCGTTTAACCAACTGAGCCACTCAGGTGTCTGACTCCAGTTTCCTCAAGGCAGAAATCTGAAAACTAGCATTCTTGGACTGTGTTACAACTGGGCAAGTAAATACCTTGGGTTCCAGCAACTGAATTCTTAGAGTATGATTTGTAACTGTAGGCAAGCAACCTGAGGATGCAACTCCTCTTGGAGAACTTGATTTGTTGGTGGAGGCATCAGGTTCTTTGGGGATGACAATGGCATTCAGACTGATGCATCTTAAGTGCTTGGTGCCAGTGGAAACAGTGTTTTGCTACAAGAGCTCTGGAATATGCTTGTACAATGTTACTGACTGGGTAACTTCAGAGCTGCTCTCTGGTCCTGCTGGAGTCTATTAGCTACCTAATTAAAAACGTTCAGCATGTCTTCTTTATTGTTAAACTGGCCAGAGAGGATTATATTATTTGTAATAAAGAATCTCGACTGAACAAAAATATATGATTTTAAAATATTTCTTCCCTAAACTCCTTAGCTGCTAATAAAGTTACTAAAGTATCAGCAGTAATCCCAAGACTTGCTATTAAACTCTGGTATTTTGGATCTGATGCTTACAGTATTCTCATTGGTAACATGTATAACACTTTGGAGAGGATGCTAAAATAAGAGAAAAGTCCAAGACTGTGGCATTCAAGATCAATATGTAACATATTTATATAGAGCAAGCATTTAAAAATGTTAGCTAAGAGGTTACCTTGAACTCAAGATAAATTCACTATATTGGAATAGTGATCAAATATTTAAAATAGTATTGTTTTCTAGTACATCTACATGAGAGCTCATCTTCTTCAGTATTCCAGCATCCTGAGAGAATATACTCTGTCTTCCATACCTCAACCTTAGGGCAAGAGAACAGAATGGTCACCTTCAGGCTCTCCTATTATAGGAAAACACTGAAATGAAAGGTCAGTAGGGGCTAGCCCTTCATTTTCTTCTCTTTAATATCACTTTAAATTTTAGGTTCCACTTAGAAAGTGTTCAATAGGCACTTTCTAACTAATTATAATTTATGGAGGTTAAAAAAAAACAAGACACCTTAAGACTCGTAAAAAGAAATACAGATCCTGGTATCATATTGCTTTGTATGGCTCTAAGGGTGTTTTAAATTATAAATGACAAGATGATTGAGGGTTATTAAATACCTACATATACATTCAGAATCGTTCTATCTGACTTTGTAATAAAAAATACATGAATACGTGCAGGTTCATGTGTGTAAATACATTCACATATATAAAGATCTTATTTCTCTTCAACAAGTAAACAGGCCTGTGTGCTATGTACTAAGTTTTGTAACATTCTGGTGTGGCAAACTGTTATCTAGTAAGGTTCTCCAACCCAATTAAATATTTCAGTATATTATGTCAGTAAGGTAATGAGCTAAGCCTAGATTCAACATTTAAAAGGAATTTGTGCACTGAAAAAGGAGAGTGTGGAGGAAAGCCAGAAAGTCAATAGCAATATTATGAATAATTCTAATTAGTAAGCACTAAAAAAAAGGAAAAAAGGATTGAGTTACCTGATGACTACAGAAAGTATTTTATTTGGTTCATGTTTTCATAGAGTATCTTCCAATAAATGTAACTGGTTTCAGAGTCTCTCAAAAAAAGTGACTTGCATTTAGATGGAAGCTTATCCATCTATGTTCAGCCAATATCAATATTTATATAATATCAATACTATTTGTTTGAGATTTTCAAATCTTAAAGGTTCTAACACACTTTGATCCAGAAAGTCTTATAGTTTATCAGTTATTAGAAAGATAATGGATGTACTGTATAATAAATGAAAGCAAAATGGCATTTATATAGCCTTTCCTTTTAATAACAAATACAGAAAGACATTTTCATATTTTTCCCCGTATCAGATGTAAGTCAACAAGAATCATTACTACATTAGATCATTATCTCATTATTCAACATGTATTTTCCACTGTAATGAAATAGTATCACTGAACAAGAGCTATTATAACTTGAATTGACTGAAATCTACCGAAGTAATGAGTAGAAATAAATAAGTAAACAAAAAATATTATCAAAGATACTATCTCGGGTGCCTGGGTGACTCAGTTGGTTGTGTCTGCTGTCTGCTCAGATCATGATGCTTAAGTCCCATGATCGAGTCCTGCATCGGTCTCCCTGCTCAGCAGGGGGTCTGCCTCTCCCTCTGACCTTCCCCCTCTCATGCTCGTTCTCTCTCATTCTCTCTCTCAAATAAATAAATAAAATCTTTAAAAAAAGATACTATCTCTTGAAAGATTTAGTTGAAAAATTGTTTCTACATAGACTAGATTGGGTATATGTCCTTTCCTTATGCTTCTACACATTTTTTAAAAAACACTTCTTTTTCCATGAAGATTTTAGTTGAAAAAAAAAAGATACTATCTTTCTGCTCCCTGAAAAATTTATATATATATTTCAAAAAGTATTTATTTATTCATTATTATTATTTACTTTTTAAGTAATCCAGTGTGGGGCTTGAACTCATGACCCCAAGATCAAGTGTTGCAGGCTCTACTGACTAAGCAAGCTAGGTGCCCCTGCTCCCTCAAAAATTTGAATAGTTAATCCTATTAAAAAATTAGGTCTGCTTGCTTTCTTGTGATATCATAGAACTAATTTTCAGTGTTTATTAAAGTCTATTTTTTACCAAAGTTAAAATTTAATTTTGTATCCATATGAACACATAATTCTTTTAAAAATTAGGTAAGGATCATATACAGCTAATCTATGTGTTTATTCCAGTATGCAATGACAGAAGGTCTTCATTACACTAGAGAGAGCTACTCAGAACTGCTCAAAGGCTAAACTGCTGTTCCTCAGTTCTCCTGCTAGCAGAGTTGCTGGAAATCGGAGGCAGAATTGTAGGAAACAATGGCTGCCCCACCTCTCAACCTCAAATACAGGTGACTTCCCCCTAAGTCTTTTTTGTGTGATATTTAACCATCAAACTCCTCAAAATTCTGGAGCCCTCTATATTTTCTTTCATTACCTACTTCACTTGAGTTTATGTTCTCTTTGCTAATCTTTACTACCGTCTTACCTTTCATCTTAATTTCTGTGTTCCCATTTTTTCTTGTATTTAGAAATCTCTTTGTTCAAGGCTGCTTCTATAAATTCATAACTACTGCTTTTCAGAAACACTGTAAAATAATGCTTTTCCTATTGGTGATGGCTCAAGGTATAACAATGATTTACTGTCCTCCACACATAAGAATGAAGGCAGTGATCCAACTATATTAGTAGGCTGTGAGTTGGTATTGGCTTTTCAGTAGTAAAGGACAGATTTTTCATTAATGAACTCATAATGAGCCCGTATGAGTGGTAGGGCCTGAACTGGTGTATACCAGTTAACCAGAAGGAGCTTAACAATCAGAAGAAATAGGCAAATACTTTCTTAGGAAAAAAAGTCCACTAATTAGATATCTAACACAAATGACAAGATTTTATTTGTTCTAACATTTAGAATATCACAGGCATTCAATAAACTGCCAGTGTTAATGAGATTAATGTTTATCTTGAAATATACTGATTTGGATCACACAATTCAGCTCATATGTTTCTAATCCCATCTTTGGTAATCAAAATCACTGACTCCCAAAACTATCTAGTATAGGTTAGGAACTCTAATTACATATTGTGATAGCACACTGTACTACTTTTATCACATTTATTATACTGCACTGTCATGGTTTGGTTTGCTTGTTGTAAGCAATTTGAGAATGGGTATATATCTTCGATGCCTGCAACTTTAATCTAACCCTAGCATTTAACATGAATGTACATGATTTATGTTGAATGAATGAATGAATGAATGAACACAAGCCAAACCAGCTTTTTTAACAGGGCATTCAGTCACTAGTGAATTTAATACATTCTTCTTCTTCTTCTTCTTCTTTTTTTTTTTTTCCTTTAATAGGAAGGTCACTAGATGAATGGAAGTCTTAAAAGAGTCTTAAAAGTGGTATTTTGGGGAAAAATCATTGGAAAAAAATCACTTTTATAGTCCCAATTGAGCTTTTTCTTTGGATCCAAATCAGCTAGGAGATTAAAGAACCAAAAATGGCCTTCATGGAAGTATAAGAAGATGATAAAATCATCTAAAGTGATACAGACCTTACCTTGAGATTCCGTGTCTTTCTTTCCTACTCTAAATTATAAATTTCTTACTAAAAGATCAGATGGTTTAGAGAAGCTTTAGTAAAATTTTGAAAATCTTGTAGTTCTGGAATTAACCTAGTATTTATAGCCTAGCTTCCTAGAGCATTTTCCCCCTCCATCTGCTGGTTGTTGATATCGTATAACCTTATATTCAGATTACAGAAACACAGCAAGAATGCGTTTCTTTTTTTTTAATATATTGCAATAAAATTCTCACTTCAAATCTTGGTGTGAGACATTCACTAAAAAAATCTGAATGAAAAAAAAGTAGGTCAATATTGGTGCTGAATCCTTTCTTATGTAAATAAGAGCTCCAAGATTTAATTCTATAAAATAATTTTACATGATGCCACATGACCATTTTCTCAGATAAATTATACAGTCATTAAAAGGGCAAAAGTATTATTGACATGTTTTATATAATACATTTTGAATGTAGGCTATAAAGTTCTTGGTGGAATAAAAAAAAACAAAAATAACCTAGTTTATTTGCTGAAATGCTTATATATTGACCTTTCCTTAGAAAGCTATTACATTTTCCATAAGGAAACAATCCTTCATCCTTTTAATATTTGTAATGCTAAGAATAATAATATTCCTTCCTACACAGAAGCATCAAAACAATTTTAAAATCCTGCTTCAGGGGCACATGGCTGGCTCAGTTGGGAGAGCATGCATCTCTTGATCTTGTGGTTGTGAGTTTGGACCCATGTTGGGTGTACAGATTACTTAAATAAAAATCTAAAAATAAAAAACCCACTTCAAACATACCTATTCACACATACATAGTCCTTCTTAGTTTACCTCTCCAACTTACATTTTTGCTTTGGTTTAGACTCTTGCATTCAAAATTCAATCAGGTGATATCTGAATCTATAACAGTCTTTGCCTCTTGATAGTCTATCAAATGGTAAATAACTTCAAAAAGTTAAAATAAAGTACAATTTAGTCCTCTGGATTTTTCTTTGATTTGCCAGCTCTCAATGTCAAACAACTAAAAAGTGGTATTTGACTTCTGAACAAAAAAAATGCTGGTTTGTTTATAAAGACTATATATCTTACGAATATAAAGAAGGCAGAATTTGAGAAAGATAAGGGAAGCAAAATAATGTTTTATATGAATACATGTATAAATATATACAGAATATATGTGACATACATACTATAAATATATATACAGTGTGCAGTGAAAAAATTGTGATGTACTCAAAATATTAAAAATTTAGGTTATGTTAGTAATTATCCATCTTCAGAAATAAAATATACTATAGTAATTTATGACACAAAGCAGGTATCAAAAACTAGGCAATTTCTTAATAAAAGAGTCCTTTTAAAAACATGTTTCTCAATTTAATATATAATCTATCACTTCTATAGAGTGGTGACAATGATTTATTATAAACTGTAGAGGGCAAAAAAGGTTCCTGGACAAAGCTTTTGTTACATTTAAATTAGCCAGGTAAAGTGGGGCATGAAGAATAGTAAATGTGTGGCAGGTGGGAGGGAGGCTGGGAAGAGAATAGATGTAGGAGTTTTATGTGTCTCTTGAAATAGCTGTCTATTGTACATCCTCTAAGTGCACTCACTTAAAATATTAATGCTCTGAGTTCATAAGGTACATTTAACATAAAGAATTTAACATGCTCACAAATATACTATACCTTTTCTGGAAGGAGGG